CAACTTCATTATCCTGATTGATACTTTTTTCGTCCAAGAATTTTATCAGCGATAAAAATTTTTTTCTCCTCCCACCCGCCCTAACAATCTCACTCATCTATTTTTGCAATTAGATATAATCGAGAACATGTAAAATTAACAGTAGATATCTTTCAGTATTAAGCAAAAAATTGTTAAACAAATTGTATTGTTGTGAAAAAATTGTGTTCAACTCCAAAATTGTAGGCGCACATATCGAAAAAGCCACCCTCAGAACTTGTACTTAAATTTATATTGTCTCAGTTCTAGTTGTCTTTTCTCTCTGTATCAGGCTTATTAACTATGCTAATCAAGCCTGCCCTCTGCGGCCGTTTAGCGTGAACCAGATACACATGTATCCAGACCTAAAAAAGTCCCATTCCTATCTCTTGGGCATATGATACACATTTAGTGTTATGTACACGATTGACAAGTACATCAAGTACTCTCAAGGCCAATAATATAGCTTCCATTGGGTACTAATGACTCTCTTATTTGATAGTTATCATCTTACTGTGATTTAGATGACTCAAAATGTACACAGATGACTCAATAATCATCCGAACTGGATGAACCAATAATGTAAGATATTCAGAAAACGATTTCACAGGGAGTTTAATATGAGCACAATCTCAAATTGTACACTCATGATGGACATATAATGGATTTTGTTGAAAATCGAAATCCGCGAGTTGCACAAAGGGTACACATCTCACTCAATATTGATTGATTACTGACGAGACATTAATGGAAAATGTCCGGAAGAACATTTCGTTATGGGTCAATTATTTCAGTTGTAACAAAAATCTACATCTTGATTGTGTTTAGTGGTTTGAGGTTCATGCAAACCCCTAACCCCTAACCTCAGTAAAAGCAGCAAATCCTTCATAAGACGATGGAACATGGTTATGAATGGTCATTGTTTAATTGGATTTGTTATGAGGGTGCTGCAAATATTTCTGCCCAAAAAAATCACCCTGCCTGTTACAAATCTCATTTGGTGGCAGGGTGTTATGTTGTCATGCTTGACGTTAAATGCACAAATATGTGCATTCTTGAGGTAAAATTTTGAAGGAATTTCAAAGTCGCTTTGGAGGAAAACTTCATTAATAAACCCACCCTAAAAAACTCCTAAGAATCGACTGGAACAGTTCCAGACATCAAAATACAAAAATTGGCTGAGATATAGGGACCCATAAGGCATCGACCCGGCCCGACCCGGCTCTCAGAATGTAGGCCGATTCGGGCCTCCTTTTTGCCCTGGCCCGCTCGACCCGGCCCGGGCGTAAATGGCGTAAAAAAAAATTTCGATGCTGTGTGGCTCAGCATTGAGAGGATTGACCTTTTGCTCACCTCTGCATCCATTGATTATGGCCTCTAAACGCCCTCGCGTCTCTGATGGCAGCGCAATCATAATCACCGACTCTCCAACAAAAGCCAAGACCACCCAAAGCTCTAAAACACCAGCACCTCCACGCAAAAAAACCGAGATCGACAACTCACACAAGTCCTCTTGGGTCTGGCAGCATTTCAAGACTGAACGTGATGATGTTTCAAAAGAAATATCAAACATATGTCAAGCAACTATTCCAACCGCAGGAGGTAGAATCTGTGGACTTTCACTGAAACCGGATAAATCCTGCAGCACAAAGTCGATGGCGCGCCATTTGGAACGCCGTCATCAAATTTACGAAAGCACCGTAGTTGAGCGTGGATCAATGAAGAGCTATACCACCAATGGGAACCTCCAGAATGTATGTTGACTTTCTTGTATTGACTGTCATCTTTGTTTGTTCTCTGGCTGAGTATTTCAATCCTAGATCCCTAAACTCACTCGCGAGAATCTCAAGACTAAGCTACTTCGCCTCATTTTCATGAAGGAGCTACCTTTCAACTTTGTCGAATCTCCAGAACTACGAGAGCTACTTGAAATGTGTAACCCTGCAGTCTCGCCGTTCCTAGTTGGCGCCGATGCTCTTGCAGATGCTGTACGAAAGACTTTTGTTGAAATGAAGGTAGTGATGAAGGAGATCTTTCAAAATCAAACCGCGGTGAGCATCACCTGCGACGCTTGGACATCCCCAAATCGCAAATCAATCTTGGGTGCCACAGTTCACTGGATCGATGAAAGTTTCCAACTGCAAGAGGCCATACTCTGTCTCAAAGAGATTGATGGCGAGCATACCGGTATCAACCTAGCCAATCATCTCATTCCGGTCTTTGAAGAGTATGGCCTACTTGATAAGGTCTTCTGTATTGTTGCTGATAACGCTAGCTCAAACGGTACAATGGCCGATGCTCTCGAAAGAGTCTGTCCAAACTTCAACCGAGACCAAAATCTCCTTGGATGCGTTGCCCATGTCATAAACCTCATTGCTCGAGACGGACTCAAAACATTTGCCCGAAAACTTGGTGAAGATGGTCCAGTACCACGCAATCTAGCTATTCTCCTGGAACCGATTCAAACCTCGGATGTCAACTCAGTTCTCACTCGACTCCTCAAGCTTATTGCTTGGATCTACAAGTCGCCGCAGCGCTTACAGTCATTTCTCAAGCAAGTTGAGGCTGACTTAGGCTATCAACTCAACCTCGTCCGAAATGTCGACACAAGATGGAACTCTGACCTAGACTGTTATCGCCGAGCACACCGATTACGTGTTTCAATTGACACAAAATGCCGAAACAATCCTGAATATAGTCCATATGCTCTGTCAGATGACGAGTGGAAGCTCATTGGCCATCTCATTGAATTCCTGGAGCCGTTCGAGTCTGCTACAAAGGATCTTTCAGCAAGCAAATACCCAAGCCTTGGAGATGTGATTCCAGTATATGAATGGATCATTAAGAAATTGAACTCGGTACGTTGGTTTTTGATAATCTTCTTATTCTGTCTCACGATGTTGACTTTGCTCATATTTTGATAGAGCTGGTGTAACTACGAGGCTCAAGAGCTCCGACAAGCCATTCAACCAATGAAGACAAAGGCCGAAACATATTACAAAAAAGTCCTCGTGAAACCTGTTTGTCTCTGTGCTCTGATTCTTGACCCACGCAGCAAGGATCAAGAGTTAAGCGATACAACTCTAGCGCTTGCTGGACTCGATCATTGGGATGATTGGAAGACACTCTTCTTGAATGAGTGTAAAAAATTTCATGTCGATGTGCCCGTAGTAAACAATGAAGAATCTGGACCGCCACCTGAAGATCGTCCTTGATCTTTTGTCACTAAAAAGAAAGCTCAAGGCATCGAGGCCGAGCTTCAAACTTATCTCTCGACCGAGCGAGAGGACGAAACTTACACCCCACTTAAGTATTGGCAAAACGAGGGTCACAAATTTCCGATTCTTTCCAAGATGGCACGCATCTTCCTTGCTATTCCAGCCACCATTACTCCTACCGAGCGTGAGTTCTCCACTGCAGGTAGGACAATTACCGACCTTCGTAGTTCGATGAAAACTCAAACCCTTGAAGCAGCGGTTTGCCTCAAGAGCTTCAACAAATTCATCAATCAAATCATGAACTCCAAAAAAATCATGTGATCTACATTTATTGTATCTACACTACAGTATTCGGAGCAATAAACAACATCCCCACTCAGTCACTTTGACTCGTTCCGCTGCTTACTGACTTTGCTGAGCTCTTCAGCTCGCTTTTTCCTGCTCTCACATCGCTCCCACCTGCCGGGCCCCTTTGGGTCGGGCCCTTTCGGCGGCTCGTGAGCACACTACTTCCGGTCTCCTCAGCATTTTGAGGAGGCCGTGAAAACCCGGGCCCGGCCCGTCACCGGTCCCGGCCCGGTGGCCCCAGTCCCGGGTCGATGCGTTAGGGACCCAAAAATATGTGCTAAAAATCGAATTGGGCAAAGGTATGTCAAGAAGTCATTTTTTTACAGAAAGTTTATATTAAATGGAAAGTCAAATTCGATTTTGAATAACTTTCATTATTCAAGCTTTCAGTTTGGACCCAAACTGAAAGAGATATGGGCATTTTGTGATATCTTCAACCCCCCAAAACATACAAAGCTTCGTGTATGTGACCATCAATACATAACAATTCTCAAATATTGTCCTATAATACTCTACTTCTAATTAATTTTTGAACAACTTTCATTATTGGAAAATCCAGTTCAGAGCAAAATTGAGTAAGGAATGCTTAATTTGTGCCGCTTTTGACTTCCCGCCACATCACCAAACCCTCCACTTGTCCATCTACACATAGGAATTTTCCAATATGATGTTATCAAACTTTACTTCAAATCCATTCTCGAACAACTTTTGTTATTTGATCATGAATTTTGGGGAAAGATTGAGTAAGGTACACTGATTGGAGGTGTCTTCAACTCACCGCAACATCACAAAAACCTCTATGGGACCATCTAGACATAGAAATTTTCCAAGGTGACATTTTCAAACTCAACTTGAAATCATTTTTCAAGCAACTTTGATTTTTAGACCATCCAGTTTGGGCCAAAATTGAGTACGGTATGCTCAATTTTGGCATACGCAACCCCCTCGCAACATCACAAATTTCTGTACGTGAGCATCACTCATTATCTTATTTATGTTATTGTGACTCAATCCTACATTCAAATCTAAACGGTGAAAGCACATGATCAAGCACTATAAATCATCTCACCTAAACTCAAACTTATTTTATGTGACTTCATTTTTCAAATTATAAAGTTTCCACCTTTTCTCATTTGAATGTTCAATCATTGCAACTCAGGAATAGCACCTTACTCTTTTTTGTTTTCTTGAGTTTGCTTTGAATGATTTTGTAAAAGATTTGATCGTGATGATGTTGTTTATCTAAATGTAATTCAAACAGTGATAACTAAAACAAGAAATCAAATATTTGATTATCCATAAATCCATTCATACCTATCACAGTATGCAGTGTGAAAGGTATACATGACATGTGTGTGCATGTATGTACCTTTCACACGGCCACGTCACCCCTCCAGTCACAGAATCATCCGTCAACTCATCAACATTTTTTCCTTTTAGACACTTCCTCTTGATCTTTTCTACCGGCCCATCAAAATTGAATCACCAACCGATTGCCATCCACCAAAATGCCATACACCACTCGCTCCAAGAAAACACAGCCAAAGAAAAACACGAAGGCCCCCAATAAGAAGAAGGGTCCGACTCGTCGGACCAAAACTTCCACCAATCCAGCTCAAACCTCTCCTCGCGAAGACCAGTCACCACCTCCAACGGATACTCAAGGACAGCCACCACATACGGATCCCTCTATCAATCCTTCTGGCTCTAATAATAACAATCCGAAAGTCAAAGGTCCCTTTCGATCTCGATTTCCCCAATTAGAATTAGACATGTTCGAAGATGAACTCCCGAAATGGACACTTGTTGGTCTTCGAGAAGCAATTGTTCACCAAGACTCTCGTCGCAGCAAAGCTCCAAAAGAAATCAAAGATCTTGTCAAGATCATGCGATTTGAGTTTGAGAAAAGGATCCTCATGATTGCGCTCATGGCTGGAGTGCCTGAAGTTGTAATCTGGAATTTGGTGTAAGCAATTTTTCTTCCCCTTGTTTCTTTTCTGAAGATTAGATAACCTTAGCCATCACATGTTTCACAGGATTTGGGTCAAAGAAAGTCAAGGCCAATCCTTGGATTCGATTCCTTTCCTTTTGTATCAAGTGCCTTGGTGACCAACGTAAGTGTAACAATCATATCACCATTTTCTCTGTGTACTTTGATGATATCCTTATATTCCACTGCTTGTTATTCTGACAACTATTCATATCGAAAATTATCAACACCATACAAAATCAATCTCGACTGATCGTACATTGATTCCATTTGAAATTCGATTGAAACTCTTCAAAATCATCATTATCACATCGAATCTTTATATACTTTGTATTGGTCTTATTCAATCAAACACTCTTTAACATCATCATAACACTCTAATTGAATTTTACTCTTCAACATCATCACAATTCTATCAAACATGATCTCACTCTACTTGAATTTTTCTCGGTCATGTTTGATTTCTAACTCTCCAACATCATCATAATCCAATCAAACTTGTTTCATTTTACTTGATGTTGTCGTTTACTGTCATATTCGATTTCAAACTCTTCAACACCTCATCATAACACTTTTCGATCAATCACTCTTTCCTCTCATACTTTGACATCATCAAGTTCCGGATCGCGATGACAAAGACACTTGGGTGGCTCGGAATCAGAAAATGTCGGATGAATGGAACAAACTCTCCAAGGACGAACAAAGGGTATTTCGTGATCCATATTTCTTCGCCTTGGCCAATCTGCCAGACTACGCCAATCAAGACCTCGAAGATCAAACGGAAGTTTCAGACGAGGACAAAACTGGTGTCAATGTACAAGAGTTTGATACAACAACTCGGGCACCTCGAGTTCACAACCTTACGGATGAAGCAAAAGAAAAGTATCAGCCCATCTTCAATCGCTTGGTCAATGTTGAAAAGGTTCATATGTGTCATGGTAAACCGGAACCATCACCATCGGTGGCTACGCTTCAAAAGAAGTCTTTGGTAGCCGTAAAGAAAGCTCATCATGACGTAAGACTCCTTATTTGTCACACCCAACGATATTTATGTCTGAGTTACTTATGAGACGCCCTTTTTATCAGTTTGCTGTTGTTTGCCAACAAAATCAGATAGCATACTATCTTACAACAGCCAGCTGTGGAGGTATTGACGGCTGGTCACAGACCTATTCAAACAACGTCCGATTTGCAAAATGGGCGCTTGACATCGAGAAAATTCCCTCTAAGTTTTCAACTTATGTTCACGGAATTGAAACAGCTAAGGAGATCGAATCTACTACTCGACAACCCAGTGATGAGCGAAGAAGTACCTTGGGAGCACGGCTGAATGAACTTCTTCGTATGTTTCATTTCTGTTTTCATTTCATCTTGATTTGTGTTTGCTATTTGAAGTCTGATGTACATTTGACTGTTTGTAGGTGTACATGTTCCAGGTGCTGTATTTCCGAAAAATCAAGACCCTGTTGGACAAATTTTGAAGTCAAAATGGCCTGTGAAGATTGTCCAAAAGCCTGGATCATTGCTCAAACAATCTGACCTTGATGTAGGTCATCGGAAATTAACTAGTGCAGTGATTAAACTTTGGGCACAAGACGTTGAGAACGGCAATTTTACGCTCGAGGCGATAAGTGACAACACCCAACAGCAATCTCTACTTGGTCAGGATGATGAAAAAGAACCAAGTGGCTCAGCACTCCCTCAGACTCGCCTCCCTGCAGCAAACCCAAACAAGCGAAATCAATCAACTGCCGAACATACGGACAATCAACCTATCAGTCAAGGACGTCGGAAACTCTTGAAATTGGCGCAAGGTGGTATGAACAAAGGCTCTCATAAGAGTAAAAAGACCCGAAATTCCGATTCCAATTCCGATTCCGATTCCAATGAAACAAGTTCAACTGAAAAAGGAAGTTCCACTTCTGAAGAAGAACAGTCTCCAAGTGAAAAAGGAAGCTTGTCAGATGACGATGAAAGTTCTTCCGATTAGTAGTCAATACATCGATTCAGGCTTTCATCATTGTGAAATCAATGTTCTTTCTCTATTTTCATCAGTTGGGGTTTTCACATAACATAGTCATTGCTTTGTATGTCTCATGTAGTTACAATGCTTATTGTTGCGGGTCTTTGTCCAGCTGATGCCTCAGATGGTCAAAGATAGATTGATCTATTTCAAATGTTCCTTGACCAAATGCGATCTTTATGTCATTGTTCGTTGTTAGACCTTTTTTTAAGAAACTTTTTGAATTTCTAGTGCATCTCTCTGCTTTGTTGTGGTGCCTGTGTTTTTGTGAAATCAAAATGAATTGGCTTATCTAGTTTTGACCAAATATCAAACAGCGAGGACATATACCGACTTGAGGTGGACATAAAACATAAAACAACTTGAGGTGGAACGGGTGAAGTCAAAATGGGTAGAGTCGATTGATCAGAACAAAAGGATCATTTTATCGATTGTGCCAAGGTCAAGATAGTGACTACATACATAAGTTGTGACGACTTGAGGAAGGACCAGAGCGAGGGTTGATATCAAGAGGAATTTGGGTATTCTACTTCGGTCATGTGTAGTTTGGTGTTGGAGTGATTTCCAGCAAGTAATGCAGCAGCCTCAGGTCAACTCCGAAAATTGACAAGTCAGAGCTGAGGCCTCTGAGGGCTGCTCAGAGCGCTCTGGCGGTCCTCAGAGCGCTCTGGCAAGGACCTTGAGATTAACTCAAGATTCAGATAAGTTTGAAAGAAGGAATAATAAAGAATACACTCTTTGATGTACCCTGAGGTGATTTATAGTGTGTAAAAACTTTTTCAAAAAGAAGTTATAAGGCTTTGAGGATGTGCTCCAGGAGTCCTGAGCTGCTCTGCTGCCAAAGTCTGGCATACATGCCCTGGGTAAATGTCATTTTACCCAGGGCATGTAAGTCACTTTATACAGGCTCCACAGGTGAGGTGGAAGAGGTAGTTGGAGAAGTAACTGGAGAGGAAGAGGTGGTTTTAAGTATAGATCAAAAGTAGCTGAGATTGATGGAGTGAAAGAAGAAGCGGAGGAAAGTAAAGCTGAAGGATCGAAAAATGGCGGCGCTCGGGAGTGCTAGTTGTGCCACCCCTGAGCAAGAACATGTTGAATCTAAAAAGTAGTGTTATTGATGAACTTGAAATAAAAGACACCCGAATTTTTCATAACATCACTTTATTTGACTCAGCATCTGCCACAACTGTTGTTGCCAAAGCCCTCGTGGATAGTGGAGCCACCCATGAGGCAATGAGTAAACTGTTTGCTCATAATCACAAACTCCACACGGTTCCGTTACCACAAATACGAAAGGTAACAGGTTTCAGCGGTCACGAAACTCAAGTTACTCACACAGGAGACTTCCATGTCAACAGCACTGCAACAACACCAACGACCTTTATAATCACTGACTTGAAGGACAAATACGATGTTATTCTTTGTATTCCCTGGATCAGAAAGAACTGGCATGTTATCAATTGGGAAGATGGAACCTTATCATTGAATGAATCAAGCATTGCGGTCGCCGAGTCGACTTCGTTGAGACCGACAAACACCTCGAAGGCCCTTGTGGAACCCAAGAGGAAAGCTAGGAATCTTAACGAGGGGGTGGAGTCTGTAAACTCATCAACACCCCCGCAATGTGAGTGTGATTCTCCTAGTACCCTTACCTCTCTTGAAACAGCCGACAAGCTTAATCTCCTTACAGAATTCAAAAACAAAGAAAACGATGACGGTAAAGGAAAGAAGAAACCTGCTATCATTGAAAAAATGATATTGTCAACGCCGAACCAGACCTCTATGGACCAACAGGAATTGGAGCCAGTGAGGCACGCTAGGCAAAATGACAAGGGGGTTGAGTTGTGTACGAACTCATTACAACCCCCGCAGAGTGCGTGTATTCAACCTTTCTCCAAAAATTTAAAGAACACTAGCAAGCGATTGTATCTTCCTAATTCAGCCATCAACAGACTGACTTCAAACGTCCTACGACCAAGTACAAGATCACAGCAATTGAAAGAAAAACTGAAGCCGTCCCAAATTATGATTGACACTGCTAAAGCATCGTGGAATTTATCGGCGAAACTGGCAGCAGAAGAAGCATTGAAGAAACCTGAGAAGACAGCTGCTGAATTAGTACCGGAATGTTATCATGAATACTTATATATGTTCGAAAAATCTAATTCTAATGTACTACCACCACATCGCCCGTATGATTTCCGAGTAGATATAGTCCCTGGAGCAACACCTCAAGCTGGAAAAGTCATCCTGTTATCTCCGAAGGAAAGTGAAGTCCTCCACGAAATGTTAGAGAAAGGCCTTCAGAATGGTACAATCAGGAGAACAACCTCACCATGGGCGGCGCCGGTACTATTCACGGGAAAGAAAGATGGCAACTTAAGGCCATGTTTTGATTACCGGAAATTAAATGCAGTCACTGTCAAAAACAAATATCCGCTACCGTTAACGATGGAATTGATTGATAGCTTATTGAATGCTGATGAGTTTACTAGTTTGGACATGCGTAATGGCTACAATAATTTACGTGTACGCAAAGGTGACGAGGCTAAGTTGGCGTTCATTTGCAAGGAAGGACAGTTTGAACCATTAACCATGCCCTTTGGTCCCACCGGAGCACCGGGATTTTTTCAATACTTTATTCAAGATGTTCTCAAAAGTCATATTGGAAGGGATGTAGCGGCTTATCAGGATGATGTACTGATCTATACAGGACCTGGTGTTGATCATCAAGCGGTGGTGAAGGATGTTCTTAGGATTTTGAAAGAGCAAAATGTATGGTTAAAACCAGAGAAATGCAAGTTTTCTCAGAAAGAAATCTCATACTTAGGTCTCATCATTTCGAAGAATCAAATCCGAATGGACGAAAGCAAAGTCAAAGCAGTAAAAGAATGGCCTCGCCCGAAGAATCTCACGGAAGTCCAAATGTTCTTAGGTTTTTCCAACTTTTATCGACACTTCATCAGTCATTTCTCGAAAATAGCACGCCCATTGCATGAATTATCGCAGAAAAATGTACTATTTGAATGGAACGAAGACAGAGAAAGGGCTTTTGAAGCATTGAAAACGGCATTCACAACGGCGCCAGTACTGAAAATCGCGGATCCGTATCGCCCATTCGTCCTAGAATGCGACTGCTCTGACTATGCCTTAGGAGCGGTCCTTTCTCAAATATCCAAAGACGACAATGAATTGCATCCAATAGCTTACCTATCTAGATCTCTAATACAAGCAGAAAGAAACTACGAGAGTTTTGATAAGGAGTTATTGGCAGTAGTGGCTTCGTTCAAGGAATGGCGACAATATTTAGAGGGGAACCCCAACCGCCTAAATGTTGTTGTATACACAGACCATAAAAACTTACAATCGTTAATGACAACTAAAGAACTGACAAGACGTCAGGCTAGATGGGCAGAAACACTTGGAGAGTTTGACTTTGAGATACGGTTTCGACCTGGAAGACAATCAGCGAAACCAGACGCGTTATCAAGAAGACCAGATTTCATCCCAGCTGAGAGCGAGAAACTGTCATTCGGTCAACTGTTGAAACCTGAAAATCTCCCAAAAGATGTGTTTGTAGAGGAACTTGACATCGCTGAAATGTGGTTCATTGATGAGGGAGAGGTACTGGTGGAAGAACAAAATGAGGAAGAAATTCAAGAAGAAGAGACGAGTCAAGCTATATGGAATGATTTAGAGATCTTAGCTGCTATCAAGAACAAGTCCAAGAACGATCAAAAACTAAATGACATCAAACAATTATGCCGAGAAATGCCAACTTCGAAACTACTAAAGAACTACAAGACTGTTAATGATGTATTGTATTTTTGCAACAAGGTAGTTGTGCCTATGGATCAAGAGTTGAAAATACAAATCCTACGGTCGCGGCACGACAGCAGATTAGCAGGACATCCTGGAAGGATGAGAACCTTAGCTCTTGTTAAACGATCGTTCTACTGGCCGGGAATGAAGGCCTTTGTGAACCTTTATGTGGATGGCTGCCAATCCTGCCAACGGGTAAAGTCAAGGACTGAGAAACCTTTCGGTAGCTTACGACCACTTCCTGTACCTGAAGGTCCCTGGCTGGATATCTGCTATGACTTGATAACCGACTTGCCGACATCACAAGGTTATGATAGCATATTAACTGTAGTCGACCGACTAACCAAGATGGCTCAGTTTATGCCATGCAACAAAAGCCTGACATCCGAACAGTTAGCTGAAATCATGATACACGAAGTATGGAGGCTGCATGGTACGCCTAAGTCGATCACCTCCGACAGAGGTAATGTGTTCATTTCAAGAGCAACGAAAGACTTCCATAAAAGATTGGGAATAAAGACTCAATCATCAACTGCGTACCACCCTCAAACGGATGGCCAGTCGGAAATCACCAATAAGGCAGTCAAACAATTCATCAGGCACTACACTTCTTATAAGCAAGATAACTGGTATGATCTTCTTCCATTCGCTGAATTCTCATATAACAACAATCACCATGTAGCCATAGGGATATCCCCCTTCAAGGCGAACTATGGATTTGATGTTGCGTTTACAGATGTACCATCGAGCGAACAATGCCTGCCAGTTGTAGAAGATCGGATGAACCAAATCAAAGAAGTGCAACGTGAACTAAAAGATGCGATGAATCTAACACAAGAAACGATGAAAACACAACACGAAAACAAAACGACGAAATCACCGAAATGGAAAAGTGGGGACAAAGTCTGGTTAAGTAACAAGAACATATCGACGACCCAGCCTACAGCTAAGTTCTCTCACCGCTGGTTAGGTCCTTTTACCATCACAGCGCAAGTATCAGACAACGCTTACAAAATCAACTTACCAAAGTCAATGCAGAGAATTCACCCTGTGTTCAATGTCAATTTATTACAAAAGTTCAAGGAAAGTGAAATCAAAGGACAAAATCAAACACCATCGCCACCAATCATAATTGATGAAGAAGAAGAATTTGAAATCAATGAAATATTAGATAAAAGAAAGAGGGGGAAAAGAATAGAATACTTAATTAGCTGGAAGGGGTACGGTCCAAATTATGATTCATGGGAACCAGAAAGTGGACTTAAGAATGCAAAAGAATTAATGACTGAGTTCAACAAGAAGTATCCTCAAGCAGAAGACAGATATAGGAAGGTGCGGAGAAAGAAATGAGGGTGAAGCTTTTTCCCTAAGGGGTTTTTTAATGCCAACCCGTGGAAAGATGCTAACCCGCAAAAGGGGGTTGAGTCATAAAGGGGGGAGTGGTGTTATGAGCCACAGGCTACAAGGCTACTTCATTATGCTTATACTAAGTTGTACTCTCTCTATATCCTGCCATCTGAGTAGAACCTTGATACTGCACGTAGCAATCTAATAGCTCACCTGAAGGGCCTTGTCTCATCTCATCTCTTGCATCTCTTCAATCCAAGTCATATCATTCTAGTGCTTGATAGCTGAGTGAGTTATCCTCTCTGGTTCCTATCTTTTAATGCTGACTGTAGCCTGAAAATATCTCTAGTTAACCTTTTCTTCTACTATAATATCTAGTAAGTCTGGTTCTTTGAGTCAAATAGCTAGATTAGCCTGTGATCCGTATTTTACATAAAGGAGGGCTGAGCTGGGTCCGTGTGATCAGTAATTTTACGTAAGGAGATATTACAAGAGCTTTTATTGTATTACTCTGAAGAACTTGTCTAGGCTACCTAGTCTTTGCAATTAATATGTCATAGGGAATTTCTCTTGGCTCATGAATCATTTTATTCATTTATTATTGTATTACATAAAATCCTTGTATTCAAGTTGATTCTATTTCTCTTTTTTTACTGTTCTTGTTTCTTTAAGCTTTGTTATATTTTGTAGATGGGTCTTTGATACTAGACTCCTTAAGTTGTATTGATTATGTTTTTCGTAATGTTTATTGTGAATCTTTGAAACCAGATCCTTACACCATGTCTGTATCCTTGTAGCACGTTGACATGCACACACGGAGAGTTTTGAAAAAATCAGAAAATCTTTTGGTAGGCTTTAGACTGAGATTGGTGTTGGTCACCCTTTGTGACTGGTCATTTGACTATGGAATCTGTGGGATCCTTTGTCAGCAGTTGGGGTCAACTGAGTGTCAACCTCCCAATTGACAAGGGGAAGACGTGCCTTTTGTGGAGACCTCTTGAAAGTGTCTTTCAAGTATGTATCAAAAGGTTGGTGTGTGCACATCAATGTGCTACAAGGGTACAGACATGGTGTTAAGGTGTGTTTTGTATTAGAGTCATTAAAAAAGAATAAACTTATATAAGAATTTTGAAAAAGATATGTTCTATTTTACAATGTTATCTGTGAAGTGCTTCTGGAGCTTGTTTGTAAGGTCTTGAGTACTGACAAAAACGTAAGCTGTATTGCAGTTTTTCAGAAAATTGTTTTCCAGCACTGAGGGCAAGGTCTCACACCTGGCCCACGTTGCAAACTTGGTTTTTGGGAAATGACACACTCCCATGCTCAGGTCTGCAAATTTGCGGACCTGGCTGAATCACTGAAAAACCAGTCCCCCAACGACTATTGGGCCAAAAATAAAAAAATTGTTACATCCATGGACTTTCTTTCTCTTTTTTTACATGAGGTGAGCCCAATCAATCACATATGTTGTGTGGAACACAATAAGTGTGATCAACCACTTATGTAGATGAATATACATGTGGTGATGGGGGTTCAACCTCAAATGAACCCTATGGGGAATTGAGAAAGAAGCTCAGTTGTGCGTTGCAGGGTGCTGTCAGCTGAAAAAAATACACCTGTCCAGCTGAGGGGAAAACCCAAGCTGTACATGTTTTTGGATTCAGGAACGTTGGAGATGCTCTAAGGGTCTACACAATCTGTACACTTAGGTCTCACACTTTGAGATTTCCAACACCTGCGGGTCAGAAAAGGGTACGTAGCACATGGTAGCTGCAATTTCACAGCCCTTCCAGTATTCTCCCTAAAACGGTCAAACCCAATGTTTGCCAAAGAAATGTGTGTCACTTACACATACTCAGGCAGACTGTATCCAAAACCCAAGAAACATCAATAAATACAACACTTGTGTGGAGGCAAAGAAAGCCAAAGCAGAATGGGTTGAACAAAACCCAAACCCATCATCAACTTCAACCATTTTGGTCAATCCAGCTCCTCCTTCTACCTCTTTCTCAGTTCCTGTATCAAATCTCCCTTCTTTATTGTCTCTTCAAGAAGTGTTGGAACAATGTTGGAATAATCAGAGTTCTCAGAGTTCTCTGCAAGCGCAAGCGCGGTGCACATTGTGGATCCTACAACTGAAACCAACAACAAACACTTCAGAATTTTCAACAGCGGCACAATTCAGTTAAAGGTTCTTACATATTTTCATGCTACAACAACTTGCCCATTGTTGGAAGACATGCATAAATTTTTCAATGGGACACCTTTTTAGGTGTCCCAAATTAAAATACGTCAGTTTTACACATTTTTATGAAAACTTGCCTGAATCTTTAAAAAATTATGGTCCTCAAACCTGTGCAAATACTGTGCAAGACCAACATGCAAGATCAGTGCAAGGTTTCTTGCATCAATCTTGTGCATTAATTTTTTTGACAAACCCAGCTATCTTGTTCCAAATGGTACCAAAACCGTGCAAGACCAACCTCACAGGTTCCAGATTTTTGCACTCACGATGTGTTAGCAGAGCATTTTCCAAGATTGTGTTGAGATTGTTGTATGTTTGGTGCCAGAAGTGCAGCCTTGGAACACAATCTTTACACCTGGCTGGAGTTGTGCCAAGTCAATCAACAAATACTCAGTATGAGTAATACCTATCTTGATACCAAACATGTATGATTCCTTTGCTAATGTGTCGTGAGTATAAGATTTGGACCCTGTGCCTGCAAGATCTATTTATGTCTTGCACAGAATTTGCACAAAACTTGCACAAATTTTTGCATGGGTTTGAGGACCATAAATATGCAAAAAAAACCCAAACTTGAAACCCCCTGATGTCACTGCACATCTTTGGTGGTGCACATTGGGTTGCACACGTCACATATGTACTCGTTACCAAAGTCAGTGTACACGTTATAAGCAAAGTCAGCGTACCGTACTCTGTTTGAGACAATTCAATGATAGACTTTCCAAGTACGTACTGGCCCCACCAACCGCAGACGTCCCGCGGAGTCTGCGGAGAGGGGATAAAGTGCCTTGTACTCGAGGTGTGCGAGAAGCAGCGAGGGACTGGAGGACTGGAGAGGACTGGAGATCCCGCGTGTCAGCTTTCCAGTATGTCACATGATGCCGAGACTTAAGTTAAGTTAGCTCCGGTTTGATCTCGTTTGACACCTGACATAAAGAGCTCCACAGTGACAGAGCCGATCATTATCGAAGTCCAATATCCCATCCTATCCCATCCTATCCCATCTTTCCTTATGTCGTTGCTTGGTCAGCCGATCTCCGAGTTATTTAATACGAGCGCTCTTTTGTGCTTGTGTGCAGTTTACTTCCTCATCAAATAGTGAGTCCGAGTATTCTGAACGTTATTTGGGCTCGCTTGATTTACGCTCACTGACGTGTAAATAACTGAACCCTGAAACTGGTCAAGTCGAACTCGAGGTTAGCCTTCTCGATTTATTCCCGCACGATTACGTAGATAAACTGACGAAAGGTCAACGCAATATCAATGAGATAGCGATCGGAACAGCCCCACGAAAAGACCCCAACTTTCAGGACGTATCTGGCCTACCTTTGTGAGTACGGTTTTCAGTCGTCGAATGGTGTGTATCTCAAACCTGTTTTCTGACAAACTACCTTATGCAGGCTTGGAATAGTAAGTATGGCCCTCCACAGTCAAGACACTTCGCAAAACACTCCATTGGTTCTGATGTAGCCTGATACACGAGCCAAGTTTGCACAAGCTTTTGACTGATCCAATCTTTCCATCGACCCTTCATTAGCTGCCACGTGCTGCCTATCATAGCAAAGATGGTCTCGAATGGGCAGCCACCCTAAGAATCAAACACGGCCCTGGTTGGAGTTGTACTTTCCCTGGCTTACGACTCATTGATATCAGCAAACCAGAGTGGATAGAATATGTACAGAAAAGTGAGAATTGAGAATATCTTCAACATTCGTTCATACGAGCCAAGTGCGTCGCTACGATTGAACACAATTTTGCTTATTATATCTGAATCATACAGCAAACTTTTCAAATTATGTGAAAGTAAGTTCATACCCTTTCAGAATCTCAGCTTTCAGGCAGAGTCTTTCCATATCTGATCTAACACATCAGGGGCACATGTTCCGGGACATCATGAGCGATGTATTCGGAGAAGGAATTTTTGTGACGGACGGCGCACGGTGGAAAAGTACCAGACAATGTACCTCACGAATCTTCAACGTCAATTCGTTCAAAGTAAGTGGTATCTGATCGACCTTCCAATCTTGGTGCAAATACGAGACGATGAATTATTGAGGCCGTTGCTACCCTTGTACTTTTCAGAACATTGTTATGCCATCACTTGATGAAAGCTTACAATCACTCAATGCAATGCTTCAACACAAAGCCAATCGCCGACTAGAGGTCGACTTCTGCTCGATCTTCTATAAATTTACCCTTGAGTCATTTGTCAAAATGACGTACGTATCCCTGAACATCTAAACATTTCAGCTCATGAGAAATCAGATGATCGCAATGGTGATCATTTTCATTAAAACAACACGCCTTCCTCTTTGATCATCACAGGTTTGGAAAAGAATTGGACGTCTTAAAAGCAGAGATGTATCCAGATATGCATCTAGATAGCTCCGCGATTGCATTTGCAGAGGCTTTTGACGTAGCTCAAAACCATCTCGATTGGCGCTTCTCCATCGTAGCTGGATGGTCGATTGTGGAAAAAATCGTACCATCTTTGGGCAAGCGGGTGGCGAATGCTTGTAAGACGCTAGATAATTACACTTACAAGTTAATCGATGAAAGAGCAAACAAGGGAGATAAGAATGATGACAGGCCTGAGGATCTACTAGAGTTGTTCATGAAGGCAGAGGACGAAAAGGGTACCCCTCTCGACCGAACGCAGCTAAAGGATGCGTTGCTAAACATGCTTATAGCAGGACGGTAAGTTTTCTTGTGTATCACATTTGCCGAAGAGCCCCATCTTCTAATTGCTGTACCCCTCTCTTGTAGCGATACCACTGCTCAGGCTCTTTCATGGGCCTTCTTTCATTTAATCATGAATCCTGGGATGATTGATCGTGTGCGCGAAGAGATAAGCGAAATGGATCGAGGTGCCGAATCCGGGATTGTGACATACGACAACTACAGACAATTTGTCTGGACCCAAGCTGTGTTGTGTGAGGCTTTGCGGCTACATCCCAGTGTCCCCAAGGTCAGATACCCTCCATTGATCAGGCTTTTGCTTGATTGCCATTTGCTCATGATCTAACTGTCTTCGACACTATATCGCAATCATGACCGTCGGATCAGAATATGAAGATGGCTGTCAAGCATGATCAAATACCAAATGGTCCGGTGATACAGCCCGGAGATGCTGTTCGATGGGGGTGGGTTTCCATGCTCGATGCAACGACTTTCAACTACTGACATTATATGGACTGTTGGATTTTTCGGTGTTCCTTTCTGAGTAGTGACTGGGCGATGGGTCGAGATCACGATATTTGGGGCCCAGACTGTGGTGAATTCAAGCCCACGCGTTGGATTGATTCTGAGGGAAAACTTAAACAATTCGGACCATTCAAGTTTCACGCCTTCAATGTTAGTATCTCACCAATTTATGTAAAATAAGTTTCGTGCACCCCTTTCACAATATCATCGTGTTGATTCCAAGATTCATCAAACTACAACGAAATTTTAGGGTGGACCTCGGCTCTGCCTAGGTATCAATTTGGCTATGCTTGAAGCGATTTCCGTCATAGTGGAAATTGTACGAAACTTTGATATAGAATTCTCCCCAGGCTGGTGAGCCAAAAGTCTTGCTGATCCCTGTTGTCAGTGTGCAGTGATGTAGCTGACTCATACCTTCAATTATCAGGCTCAAGAGCGTCCCCAAGAGCAAACCACTTCAGGGTGTCAAATCATCTTATCCAACTCCTAGCTATAAATCATCTTTGACGCTACCCATGGCTCAACCCATGTTGATACGAGTCCAAAAGCGCAAAAAAGCATGATCAATGCCAGCATATCCTCAATAATCCCCATATCTCCTGCTTCATTTCATGCATTTGACTAGCACATTCACTTGTAGTTCTTTGTATGGCAACCTTGTAATCTTACTGCGCATGCTGTGGCTCATTCTCAAAACCTTACACTGTCAATGTTTGGATCCAATCTTTGTTTTGTCTGCTCCAACCCCCATCAGTGTGTAAATAATGTTGAAATAATCAAGATTACACTTGTCCTTTGTGAGCCTTTGTTTTCTTCAAGCCTGGTGCATTACCTTGACCACATCATTCTTGTTATTTCGCATGGCCGTGTAAATTAATGAGCCTACAGTGGATGGTTTCTTTGGAGCTATAGACACCGTATGCTAATCATGTGGGGAGGCAGGTATGGCTCCTAGTATCAACATAGCGGACTAAAACCCCTATATAAAGTTGTACCAGTACAGTTACATGAGCACATAACAACATACACTCCAACATAGGCCTGTGACCCGGACCCAACCCTGCCCGGCTGATTTCTGGAAGCTAGCAGTCCCGGCCTTGGGGCAATTAAACCTAACAGGATGAGAGAGACAAAGTGCCCGCGGGCGCCTCAGGCGCCCAAGCCGGACGCATGCCCAAGCCCTTTTCCCTCACCAAACTCTCACAATAATCAAAGTTAATAGATTATCAATCAAGATATGCCATCTGGATTGACCCCGGTGACCAGATCCACCGGATTACGTCGCACGATGCAGTCATCTTCCCTTTCCGCCGCTGCGACTTCATCAATTACCCCTTCTGATTCAATTTCCGTAGTTTCTGACGCTACCACCACCCAACACTTGTTGTGGGTTTGGACGTACTTTGTACAAGAAGAAGTCTCAGGTGTCATGAAAAACATTGTCATGCGCAAGATGGTTTTATCAACACTATTAATCCTATGAACCAAGATCTCAAGGAAGTTCGGGTTTGCAACAAACCGTTAGCTCATGATAGGCACTCTAGTACCAAATCGATGATACGACATCTCTGGCGTGCTCATCATATTGTAGCCCCCATTCAAACCAATCAACCCACTGTCCAAGCCTTCTACATTGATGGCGAGCCAATTAAGGTAATGTACTTCCCTTCTCAACTTATTTTTCATCATTCATTTTCTTATTCTTTTCTTCCTTTCTTTTGTTATCTTCCTTTTTTTTAGGTCAAACCCCTCAGCCAAACCAACCTCAAGGATGCGCTCATCCGCATGGTTGTCAACCAAGAGATCCCGGTTTCGTTTGTTGATGCGTCCAAATTCTGCGAGATCATAAATATGATCAACCCTCACGCTTTCACCCTGTTGTCTAAGCGCACAGCAATCTCCGATGGAATCTTGGACCACTTCTGATTAGCTTGAGCTAAGATCATGAATCTCCTTTCTAATGTGTCTCATATCAGTATCACCTGTGATGGGTGGACCTCTCCCACCAATATCGCCATGCTAGGAGTCACCGCTCATTGGATAACCAATATGTTTGAACTCTGTGGAATTGCACTTGCCTTGAAGCCAATCAAAGGCCCTCACACCGGTACCAACCTTGCCACCATTCTCAAGGCTATTCTAGATTTGTTTTCAATCTCTCCACGTCTTTACTGCATCACTGCCGATAATGCCTCCAACAATACCACCATGGGTCAAAGCCTTTCAACCATGATTCCCCATTTTGACGCTTCCCAACATCTTCACGGGTGCGTAGCCCACATGATCAATCTCGTGGCTCAGGCTGGACTGTCTGTCTTCAATCAAAAGAATGCCCCTGCCGTGATCAATGCTCTCAATCCTGCTATTCCACATGATCACGCTTTGGTTCCATTGTTTGTTGAGTATACCTCAAATTCTGAGGTAGCAAGTGTCCTCACTCGAATTCAAGCCTTTCACCGGAAGATTAAACATTCTAGCCAACTCAAAACCTCACTCAACAATGCTATTGCAAGCTGTGCAACTGTTCCCAAAGTGGGTTTAGTCCACAAGGTCTCAACTCGTTGGTCTTCAACCCACTCTTCTTTGGCTCGCTTTGTTCAGCTTAGAGTTGTTCTGGAGTACCAGTTCAACTGTAACCCAGCTCTTGAATGTTTCATACTCGACTATGATGAATGGACTTTGGTTGAAAACTTGGTTGAGTTCTTATCTCCTCTAGCTGCTGTGACTTCAACCATTGAAGGCCATCTATACTAGAATTTTTCTCTTGTTATGCCTGACTACCAGTGGCTCGTTGACTGCCTTGAACATGTAAGTTTTTTTCTTTATTTTTGTTCCTTTTTCCACTTTGTCTTTTTACATGTTACTAACATATCTCTTGTTTTGATTAGGCCTGGGCTGATTCCAAGTGTAAGGAACTCAAAGTAGCCATTACGCCGATGATAAAGAAGATCATCGGATACCAGGAGGCTGCCCAGAAAAAGGCAGTCTACATCTGTTCAGCCATCCTAGATCCCAAGTCCGGGTTCGGCCTTGGGGCGGCCCCGTCACACGCAGGGTCGGGTCACAGCCCTACTCCAAAACTCCTTGCCTTGATGTTGCCTTCATGCTGTTTCTGAAACTAGATGACTAGAGTTGCCAGTCCATATGTAATCAACTATATACATAATTGTACATACAGAAAAAAGAATTAAATTGATCATTTATGTATGGATTCCAGATGGGATACAAGTAACAAGCTGAGTAAAGACAACACGGAGGCTCATGAGTCATATGGAGGCTCTAAAGTGCCACTTGAGTCATGTTGTCAAAATTGTCAAAACTGACATTCCCCACCCCCAAAAAAGGTCAGCTGACCAAGTGCTGACCCTGGCCAACCCTGTTTGGCCAAGTCCTCAAATTCTCCATTGCCTTCTCATCATCAACTGCAGCTGAGTCAAAAAAACAATTGTTTGACTTGTTCAACAATGATAAACTACTCCAATCAATACAATATCAAAGGCTTATAAGGGTTTGCAATAAATCAAACAAACATTATACAAATACAAAGTAACTTGAACAGATTGATCTCGTTTGACAATATTATTGCAGGGATCATTATAATTCTCTGACATTTCTCTTAACAACACTGCCACAGTGACTTTACTGGTATTGTATTGGCAATACTGGGTAAAGTATCAAAAAAAACAATACCGTAAAATTTGGTAGGCAGTAAAGTATTGGTTCACCAATACAATACTCAATACGGTATCAAAAACTGTGATACTATGTACCAAAGACTTATCTTGAGTAAATTATCTTGAAGAAATACTGTTACTATACTTGATACTGTATTGGTCTTTGTGCCACAAGCTGATACCATACTGAGTATCTAAGCCTAAATGGGAGAAGTATTTGACCAATACTTATCCATCAACTTCTGGGTAAAGTATTGGTTTTCAGATGATTTACTTGATACCATTTTGAAATTGACAATACCATCCCAAGGGCCTGGGAGTACAGTATTGGGCAGAGTGATACCAAGTATTGAGATACTTATGCTGGAAAAACAGTACTTTACTGTCACTTTATTGTAAACAGTAAAGTAATTGTGGCAGTGTTGCTCTTAACAACTGCTTGTCTTCCGATGGCAGCCAAACCATGAGCCAACCAAATGTTGTGTAGCTTTAAATGCAAGGCAAATTATGCCTATGTTTGTATTCTTAGAGCACCCACTATGGGTGCGGTAACTGAGTGATTTACCGTAACTTTAGTGCTAAAATCTAGACAGGTCCACTAGGACCCCGGATAAGTCCCATAAACCCAAGGGATGAAAAAGGAATGAATCAGACCCTCCAATTTTTGCTATGTTAGGGATGAAAAAGGAATTATCCGCCCCGGTCCTGGTCACATGTTAGGGATGTGGAGGAATGAATCTCAGTTGGACAAAAATCTCCCTCTCAGATGATACTGATGTACCATGAATGAACAGCATGATTAATATTATGAGTATTGCACGGATTCACAAACACGACGATAGTTAGTTTGAAAAGAAATCTATATTTGTTTGCTTATCTTATCTTAACCGCATCTTTGCTTTCGATCCCTGCTGCTTTACGCACAGGTCTGTCCTTTTAAGCTTGTTAAAGCTTGTAGTGGCTTGAGCCGTTTTACTCACTTGATCCTGATTACCCCAGGTCTGTCCTTTTTGAGAAGATGAGGTAGGTAATTTGCTACGAGGTTTCATTCCATTTTGAGCAAAACAGTTACGATTAGAATGAGGTAAACCACGATGCTTGTCCAAGTTGCACAAGTCATCTGGACCAGGACCAATACGTTTGGTGTTAGAGTTTCGATTCGCAGTCGAAGATACGGTTGATTTGGCGACAAAAGCATTCGTAGAAGAGACAGAACCGGAGGAGGATTGTTTAGCTGTCTCAAGTACTAATCAATCCATAACTTTTTGAACAGTTAAAGTCGAAAGATCAGCAAAGAATGGAGCCGTGATAAATTTGAACTCCTTGCCAAGACCGTTCATTAAGAAGATTGCCAAAAGTTTGGGAGATAACACAATATCTTTGTCTTCAGCGGCATACTGAGCCAATTGATTGTGTAAATTTCGAATACGAATGATGAATTCTGAAAGAGATTGCCCAGGTTCCAATCTAGCTGTAGCAATTTCACATATAGCCGCGGCCGCTAAAACACCACCGCTACTACCGTGAGCCCGACATAGAGTCTCGTATGCGATCTTAGGAGTATTGGTAATTTGAACAAGAGAGTCGTTAGCTGCGTCCAAAGAATTGACAATCAGTTCCATAACACGACCCTGATGGCGTCAATAAGTCAAAAGTTCGGCGGAGGCAGTCGGCGGAGTGTCATTGGTTAGATAAGCAAGCAACCCTCTAGTCTGAAGGGCGAAATGTAGACGCTTATTCCAGTGAGGGAAATTGCCGTCACTGAGAATCGGGATCTTGATGCGGTCATCGCCGGTTCCAGTATTGGTCTCAAGAGTAGCCATTGATGCTGGAAGAGATAAAAGATTATCGATAGGAGAAGATGCGCCTGGAACGATAGTTCTTGAAGACGAAGAGATTGAAGCAGTAGACCCGGCAGAATTGGAGGCCGGTGGATTGATGATCGAGTCGTTGGTGAACGAGTCGGAAACAGGAGAACCAGAATTGATAGGCGAAGAAGAAGCCATTGCTGGAGTAAAGATTCAAAAAATTGATAATGACGTCAATCGTGTATTCGTATAAACCTGTGTTTTACTCGGTAAAAAGGCTCATAACCTATGAGTATTGCACGGATTCACAAACACGACGATAGTTAGTTTGTGATGAAGTCAATAGCTTTTAAAGAGATGAATTTTGCATAATGTGTACACGATAGAAACATGAGAGAAATATGAAAAACAAGCATCGAGAGAAAAGTAAAAAAAGGAAAACATAAAGCAAAAGAATCATACCTATGAGTATTGCACGGATTCACAAACACGAAAATAGTTAGTTTGTGATGAAGTCAATAGCTTTGAAAGAGATGAAGATCAAAGCTAAGTGCAAGCTCATAGTCTTTATAGGTGAGAGTTACGCGCACAAAAAAATGATTATTAAATAAAAAGAAACATATCAAATTCATCACGCAGGATGAGACAGTCACAGAACTTCATCACGCAGGATGATCATAACACAGCACTAATCAAATAACACTACGATCACTATTTGATAATCATCAACACCAACAAATATCCCATTTCATAAGTTATTTCTTGATTGACCTTGAAAGGAACAAACAGGAAGTCATGTTCAACAAGTTTTTACACAAGTTGCTCATATGCAAGTTGAGTTGTGCACAAGGGACATAGCTTGCATTCATTCAAAAGTCAATTTTTCTGACTTCCCTTTACTCTGATGAGTATTCACCCATGTTGAAACTGTTGTACATTGAAATAGCTGATCTAGGTACAAGAATCACATCAAGATTATTTGCGCTTTTTCAATGTTCCAGAAACAAAATTGAAGTCCCCAAAAATTCCCCAAAACCAGCTTTCCAATGTTAGGGATGTGGGGGAATTAATTTCCAAAACTCTTAAAAACCTGGCTTTTAGGTTAGGGATGAAACAGGAATTAATGGCCTCAAAAAAACAAAAAAAGAGGTATGAATTAGGAGGTTTTGACCAATTTTCCATCCCTATCATTTATAAGACTTATCCGGGGTCCTGGTCCACTATGGACCTGTTTTAGACTTGCGGTCCCTACGACCACGTCAAATCTTGCTTTCCCCATGTTCAAATCTACGAACAGCTACAACTTGATTTATCGTAAGACTTGATGCATCCAACCACTCAACAACTGCATTATTCAAAACCTCACCTTCAAAACTTCAACCTCAAAGCTTTCAACTTCAACTCGAAAACTCACACTTCAAAACTCAACCTTGAACTTCAGAACTCAACTTTGAGTGTTCTTTACAATCTTCAATTGGTGTTTCAATTCGAATCATATTTCTTTCAATCGATCCTCTCAAAACCATTCCTAAACCAGTAAAACCTTCAACATCTTCATTAATCAATCCAACTTCAAACTTTAAATCATTCAAATCGGTTCTCAATTTGGTTCTTCAAAGATGTATGTTGTTTTGATAATAAGAATTCATCTGGATTGAATTCATCTGTTCTAAATGATTCACGATTCAAAATCAATCATGTAATTGTAGATTTGACTATTTTAAAACAGAGTTCTTTACTTATTTGGAATATACAGGAATCTTTGTTTAAAATGACTTCATATTTAGCGTTATGTGTGAAATAGTTATCATATAGCCTCTGAGCACGTCAAGCGCGGTCTCGATGGATGCGAGTCTGAGGAGGTGGAGGAGAGGTTTAGCAAACAAGAAGTCAAAGACCAGTTGGTCACTCTAGTTGTCCTCATCGTTGTTGGAAGACTTCAAAAGACCGTCAATCTCCCTTTTCAAGGGACTCAGAGCAGGCATTTGTTGGATCTTTTGTTGGATGAAATTTCACCTCCCTTTTTGCCGATGTCTCTTTCTTGGAATTCGAAGCACTTGCCCATACTAGGAAACCGTACACGTCCTGGGCTATTAAAGGGATCTGGTTGATTCACAGTGATTTATCATTGGTAAAGCAGATGTTACGTCAATCCATAGTGGAATTCATGCGGTTACCAACTTTGGTAAAACACGCATGATCAAATTTCGCGCTCAGGACCGCAAAATCTAAGATAAATCACCCTCATGATAGTGGGTGCTCTTAGAAGCAAACATTCACAAAAAGATCCTCACTCTACCACCATAGACTACTACCCTCAAGGAGGGATGTTTGGTGTACATGAACTGGCCACTAACGAAATGCAATTTTGATCGAGAAATACTACGGCGAGGCAATTGAATACCTGTCGTGTGCCCAAGTCTATCTCAGGCCAGTTTTACCATTCACAAGCCAATCGCCCCCATCATATGGTGCTCATATCTACCCACAAAATTTCGTAGGATGAGTGCCACACAGTACTTGACGGGATTTTGTAGGAGACATGGAGTACTCAACTGATCACCATGTGGCTTGAAGGTGTTGAGAATTTCTTGAATTTGGTCCATCTCTGACTTGATTAATTTTACTTTGTCGGATCCGATGTTCTCCTTCATTCGATCAACGTTGGTAGTCCCGGGAATTGCGATTACCTTTTCCCATCTAGACCAATTTACCAGGCAGTCGCGTCAGTTCAATGTGACGATTTATTCATATATCAGTATCCCTAGTGAAAACCGATGAAAGACCTTTCATGGCACCACGCCAATGCTAATTGAGCAGGCGTGCAGCCTTTCTTTTTCGCCATCTTTTCAAGCTCTGTGACTAATTGTAGGTTTTTAGGAAAATTTTCCTCTGAGAAGCGAGGTTGATTGTAGCGAAAGTCGTCCTTTCCTATATCATTACGAGACTTGAACTTTCCAGCAAGCATACCTCGACCCAGAGGACTATAGGCAATCAAGGTCTATTTTCTCCCAACACCAACAGAGTCAGCATGAGGTTAACAAGACCATGAGTTTTGCTTTGAAAAAATCATTTAAATATTTTCACGTGAGCACTTACAACATCTAATTCTTTGCAGGCATCTAGGATACCATTGTCTTCAATATCAGTTTGCCAGAGTGAGTATTCTACAGATATTGAACGAAAATCAGAGCTCTGATATGGAAACGCACCCGAACATCCTCAAAAGGATACGTCGAGTGGGTTGATTCAACTCATATAACCTCTACGAAGCACGCACCGATCTGTAATGCATCTATCTTCGCAACTTTACAAGCCTTGCGTAAAGTTGCAGCTGAGCATTCCGACAAACCCAAGTATCTCACCCTGAGCAAATCGGCAAAAGTGTTTCCAACTCATTATGATCTATCGAAAGGCGAGCAAAGGAGTTTGTCTGGACGTGCAACTCACTTTCCAGCCTGTCGGAGCTCCTCCATCGCTTTGACCGTGTCTTCGATAGGCGTATCTTTATCAACGCGGTGCTGGTCTAGGTAATCACCAGAATGATTAGCATTCACTTTGATATCATGAATCCAATCAAAGAAGAGTAAGGCCTACAATACAAATCAATGGTCTCTACTTCAAGAGCTTTCAGCGAAGCTTCGCAGGCCTCTTTGACATACTTAGGAGTGCCTTTCACTGTCCAAGTTCCGTTGGAATCTCGATGGTTCCCAAACTTCGTGGCAATAAACAAATCTTTCCTGGGAATCCCAATCTTTTTGATCGCCTGGAAAGAATCCATGTTACCAATCTTGGCAAGGTTTTCCAAGAAGGGTGGAATCAAAATACCAACCTTTGCCAACAATCGTTCGTTTGCCCCCATCTCTTTATCACCGTAGATATCAGCAGTATCCCTGGTTGACCAGATTCAGATTCAGTGTCAAGCCTCGGCAGAATTGATGAAATTTGTTTACCAAAAGGTCTGACCCGCCTCATAAGCAGCCTTGATCACCTGGATACTAGCATCATCATCTCGATCACCAGCGTAGAATGCGGAAAAGCCCATGCAACCCAGACCTGGAATCTGCCAAGTCATCGAAACACCGATTGGTTACCTGGAATGTACACCGAGTCTATCGGAAAATTACTGACTGGTACTAAATCGTTCCCAATCTTTCGTTGTGGTAAGGAGGGCATTGTTATGTTTGTATAGTGTGAGGTTGACGTATTTTGAAGATGAGCAAAGGAGGTAGCCACTGGAGCTTCAATCACTTTTTTGGGAGTGATAGGTCAAATAGACTGTACACGAGCCGAATTGAGGTTCAACTCTTGAATTGAAAAATCCGATGGTGCATTGGTGGATGACTAAGCTCGGGCGGATGATTCTCGGCGGTCGTCACAGTCTTATGCGCGATGACGTACATGAGTCCGTGTCTCCTCGATAGCTTCGGCTGGATATAAGCATGATGGATAATCGGGGACTAGAGAGAAGGCGCAGATTCGAGCGATTCGTTATTACTATTTTGTCGATATGGTACTCGTTTTACCAGATTTTTCACGTTTTCGCTTGCAAAGTAGACAAAGGACCACTTTTAGACGTCGTGCACAGTCCGATCAACTTTAACATTCGTTTTAAAACGTCGAGCCTCCTATAGTTTCAGTGAGGCTCGACGTCATCTACACAGCCGATGACGCGGGCAAACGCAGCATTGGGGGCTTTTACGCAGCCAGTCCTTTTGTTAGTGAAGGAATAGGAAGGTGCTTTTCTATTCCTTTTTCTGCTATCGCTATTTCTGTTATCTCGTGATGAGAAAACTGCGCAGGACGTCAAAAACCAGTCTATTTTCTATTTGGAGACTGGTTTAGAGTGCACATCACTGGATTCAAGTGCTCATCTGCACTTTAATCAAGGCTTTCAAGGTGCCTTTCACCCAGATGACACGAATGATAGCTATGGGTTTGCCCACTTGAAATATGTAAAAGAGGATTTGTAGAAGGGGGCAGGTGAAATCGGGCAGCCAGGATGAAGTTTCAATCATCGGCATGTCATCGAGGTATCTCAAACACCAGGCATGGGATTAGATAGGTGACTGAGTGACATCCACAAGGCTGTCACTCGTCCTATAGTTTAACCTTCCTGCTGATACCAAAGCCAAAAACCACTCTAATGTACTTCAAATAGTAACGAATCGCTCGAATCTGCGCCTGGTCCTTACTATCTGATGGAGGCAAAGTGCTGCTCTTAGTCTCAGAATGGCGTCCTCCACTTGTGCGTGACACATGTACTTTGACGTATGTAAAGTCTTGAATCAAAGTTCGGATTACCATAGAGAGGAAACCTCTTCCAGAAGAGGCTCAAGGGGGACCTAGGGAGACACTACCTGTAAACCCTCCTTTACCAACTTCAAAAAAGTACTGTTTTCTTAATAACTTCTATTCCTCCTTATCAGCCATCAAGATTAAACTTCTTACTGAATAATATAATTCTGTTTGTTCATATTCTAACCTTACTAATCCCTTAAACCTATTATCAATAACCTAAAGACCATTTCCCAGGCTGTATACCCATATTTTTGAGTTTTTATTTTATTTTTCTTTCTTTTCTTTTCACAATCCTTTATACTGATCTTGATAAATTGTTTGAAATAAGATTAACTAATCATAATGTAATGTGCAATTTATAAGCCTTAAAGAGCTTCTAATGATCAGATTCCATCAACAAGTTTTTCTTTGCACTGAACCTTTCTAATAACTTTGGTAAACTACTTATAATTATTTTTTTGATTGATCCCATAAATTGATCACCACACCAGGGTACAGAAAACTATAGCTGTATGATACAAACATGGGATGGGACGGGGTGGTCCAGAACCGTCTAAAATTCAGGTGAATTGAAAGCAAAATACAAACCGGTCTCATATATGTACAATGGACAAAAGAGTGCTTAGCCACTTCACAATCACATGCAAACTCATGCCAGAGGGTCCAAGAGCTTGAAAACACTTCCTTCCAACAACTGATGTACAAGATATTGTGATTAACCCAACCCTGATGAAAGAGACAAGGAGATGGAAATACACAAGGCTTCACACTATCAAATACGAAGTGGCAGGAATCAACAAGATACAAAACAACTGGGTCTTTCCTGGTCTTTCCAATTGATTTTGATCAGATAGGGAAGGAAGCTACAATGACACATCCAAGGCTGATTTCCAAGCAAGATAACCAGGTGTTCAAACACACTGGCTATGGCATATCCCATTATGGGCATGCCCAACCAAAACTCCCTGGTGCATGAAATCAAATTGTTCTTGAGACGATTGAGGGCATCTGGTCCACCACAGCAACCCCTTCCATGAATATTCCAAGTTGCACTTGATAACTTGGTGCTTGGAAAGGTCAGAATACACTGGATAGTTGTCAGATGAAATATACCATAATCTCACTGTGGTGGAGGTTTGTTGAGGTATGTTGAGGTTTGTCTCTCACTCAAATCTCTGTTTCCTGGACGTAGTTTGGAGGATACAGGTGCTGTATTTGATACCACCCCCTTTGTTCCTTAAAAGCTTGCAATAGCTTGCAATCTTCTCTCTAGACTGCCCCCTACGTGGGATAGGCAATATTTTGAATTTAAATACAGCATAAAAGGGGGTTAGTCAAATCCAAAATGAAATAAACAAAGTTGAGAATCAAGATAGATTGACATCTCATAAACTGATTGGCCATAGGCAAATGTACACTTTTTGTCTGTGCCATGATGGGAGATAAGATGATAGATTCAAATTTTATGTGAAAGGCATCATGAGGCAAATGGATTTTTGTCAACCTTTGTCCAAAAATAGGGTCCACTGATCTCAGGAACACATTTGACAATGGAATTATGTTCACTTTTGTAGAGAACTACTTTGTGCCTATATTAGACCTCTATTGTGAGGAGTGCGCGTCTGTTAGGCGTACTCTTCACTAAGAAGGTGATAAGGGAAGTAAAGTGTGGTCTTCACGTGGTACACCCAAGTGAAGACTACAGCTAGTTGACCTCTAAGAAGAGGATTTGAGGGAGAGATAAAGAGATTAAGGGTGGTAAAGAGCTAGTACGCTCTAACCTCGTGAGACTGCGAGGGGCAGGCTTTACACTTTGGTGAACCAAAGATCCTGAAGGCTACTTTAGACTCCGTATAAGGGAGGAAGCTTTGCTGCTTTACGGTTTATTTCTAGAGAATACAATGGCCCAAGGCTCGTAGAAATCAATACCGGGGTGCTCAGCAATAGAACCCGTGATGCTCAAGCTTGGTCTTTAGACTACACAACTAATCACGTACTCGAGGATCCTCTATATAGGATTTCAAGTATAATGTGATTCTGATGTTGTGGTGTGTAAAAGATGGTGGATGAATCAAGGGAAGAAGGGGGGTTTATATATTCACAGGCCAAGCGTCAACTTGTGGTTGGCGTGTGATTCTTGTCTCACTTGTGGTTGGCGCTTGGGTTAGGTTTGCTACATATTTAATACATTATGTACATGTGTTTATGTGGCTCTTGACACTGAGCCGTGAGATGTACTTATGGATTTAAACAATAATATAATATGTTACTGTTAGCCCATGGTCGTGTAATCAGGGCTCAGGGCTGACACTCCCCACCACCAGAGAAGGTTTCCTTCTACTGCTGTTGATTCTCCCTCTTAGATGCTCGGTATGCTCTAAGAGTTACCTTAGAATTAGGTACTTTATCTGATGGGAGCCATTCGTCCCAATCTGCTCCTTTATTCTTGTATCTCACAAGATAAAGTGTGACATCTTCATTGTCTTTATTTTTAACTTTTTTATCTTTTAGCACCTTCAAGAATTTTTTCTCATTCTCTGGTTCAAATGGAGGTATCACAACTCGTACTTCCTGTTGTCTCCTTACTTCACTTGTATCTGGTGCCTGATATTTTTTTATTAATGACACTGGGAATACTGGATGCCTGCGTTCCAACTCCCCATGCAATATGTGTTCAACTGCATTATTTCCAACTAACTTGGAAATAACAAACGGTCCTAGGAACTGATCTCTCAGCTTCTTAGGTCCTTGTATGTTGTTAAAATTGACCGTGGACAACAGAACTTGTTCTCCAACTTCAAATTTTGGTTCTTTGTGGGCTTTATCCCATCTCTCTTTGTTGTACTCAACTGATTCTCTAAGACACTGTGATGCATACTCTCTTGCTTTACTCAGCATTGTTGCAAAACTAAGGGAAGTTGGATGGATATCCACATCTCTGCTCCTAAACTTATCTCTTGGGAGTCGAGGACAGTATCCTCTCTCTACTTCATACGGACTCTTCTTTGTTGAGCTATGAACACTGCTATTGTAAGCTATCTCTAATGCTGGTAGTAAACTTTTCCAGTCATGAGTGTATCCGTCTTTATCTTTAAATTCAAGACCAAAAGCACAGTATCGCCGTATCATTTCTGATAAGGTCTGGATCATTTTTTCTGCTAGACCATCTGTCTGTGGATGATATGCCGTTGAAAATGCCAGTTTTGTGCCCATTATTTTGTACAATCCTTTCCAAAAGTCAGATGTAAACTTTGGATCTCTGTCACTAATAATGACTTTTGGGAGACCTACGTCACTAATAAGTCTCTCCCAAAATAATAGTGCAATATCCATGGCTGATGATTCTTTGTAACACGGCAAGAATCTGGCCCTTCTAGAAAACCTATCGACTATCACTAAACATGCATTATAATTTTCAATACCCGCGGGAGTAAGACTTGTCACAAAGTCCATGTTGATGATCTCCCATGGATATGTTGGTTCTTCAATCCTTTGAAGCAGACCATACCTTTTCCCGGTGGCTTTATTAGCTTTCTGGCATCTCTCACAACTACTGACGTAAGTCTGAGTATCCAGATTCCTCTTAATCCACCATGCTGTGGTGCACACTTTTTCTAATGTCTTTTCTTCTGACATATGTCCTGCCAGGAATTCGTCATGGCACACTTTAAGGACTTGTTCTTTGTGAGCTTTATCCACAAGAACTATGACTGATGTATGTTTCTCTCTGTAATACAGTAATCCGGACTGTAAAGAAAATTTTCCTTCTCCGTAAAGTTCCTTCCACGGAGATTCCAAACTAGTCACCAGAGCTAAATCTATTTTATCTTGACTCATAATCTTAATTAACTTTGTGGTGTTGGGGTCTGTATTATAACTTTGTTTTATCTTGTAAGAAAACACGATCTATCGGAGTCACTAAGCTCTACGAAAGTAAGACAAAACCTTTATAAAGGTGAAAGAACTTGTTCAGCCTTG